CGGCTGCCCGGGTCGCCCCGTTCACCCCCGAGGTGCCCGGGCTGTGGCCAGGGCCCTGTGCCGCTCACAGCCCGCCGGGCACAGCCAGATGAGCGAGAAGATGTGTGCTAATGTCTTTACAAATAATTCAGTGGGTGAAGGTATGGGTGTTAATGGCTTTGAAATGGGTCTTAATGTTTCTCCTGCCTTTGGGCAACAGGTTGGTTGCAGAGCCGAGACAGCTCCTGAAACAGAAAGTGGGTCTGCACAAGCCTGAGTTTCTGAACTTTGGGCAGCAGGTTCGTTGCAGAGCCCAGACTGCCTAACTCATGTAACAGAAAGTGGGTCTCCAGAAGTGTGAACTTCTGAACTTTGGGGTGAAACAGTAGGTTCAAGGGGCAGATATGTGGCAGGCGGTTCGGGAATGCTGTACCTCCCCAGTGCCTCAGCCAGTGGGGAAAGGAAGAGGGCAACGTGCGACTGGGAGTTTAGGATGAAAGGAGAATTTAGGATGAAAGGAGAGTTTAGGATGAAAGGAGAGTTTAAGATGAAAGGAGGCTGCGCCCTCCGAAACCTCGAGAGAGAAAACCCCGCGGCCGTGTGCCCCTGTGGACTCTCCCTTTATTCAATAAAGTTGCAGGACTCCTCTGTCTCCTTTATGGACACTGGCTTTTCATAGCGTGATTTTCCGTATACAGAGAAATGCCATGCCCTGCCTTGGCTGTGTGTGTGTGCTGAAGTTGAATACGCCCCACAAGTCGCGTATGCAGAGATAAACCCCTGGACTCCATGTTAGTCCTGTGCCTTGTTACAGGTTATTGTTACCCTGGATATAGTTATTTTAGAGTGTGCAGGCACTCTTTTTACTGGTGAGATGAATCATAATTTGTTATTTATAGCAGTGTTTTAGCTGGTCAGGAATTCAGGACTATTACTCAATTTGTCACGGCCTCAATGCAGGGTGTGGACTCCAAATACAGAACCTGGAGGCAGACTGAAGAAAGCTTGAATATGTAGAACCACTTTAATAGAAATTGGTTTGGTTTTTTCTCTGTTAGGCTGGAGTTTTATTTATTGAATGTGTTTCTAGTATCAAAAGTGTGATAAGGCATTTAATAAGTGTGGGAAAGTTTTGGTCCAAGGCAAGAGGTTCTGATCTTTGGGCAGCAGTGCTAACAAAGCTAAAAGACTTGTTTTGAAACTGAATGCTTTCCCCTTTCACACCAATATTGCACATTTTGTTTATTTTCAACAGTTCTCTGACACAGGCAGCAGAAAAGAGCATGTTAAAATCACAAGTGAGCCCAAACCAGGGTTCCTGGAGCGGCTCAGTGAGACTTCTGCAGGCATGTTGATTGGACTTGTGACATTTCTTCTGGCTTTCTACCTTCTTTTTACCAATGAAGTAAGTGCAATACTGTCAGTGTTTGTACACAGCTTTATTACTTGATCTATGAGAAGAGGAGGTTTTGTCTGGGGACCTGGTATTTGTGTTTGGGATATAACAAAAGTGAAATCACAGGCCACAGGTAGTATTTGTCTGGAACTAGGTGTGGTAGAGACAGTAGCAGTGTGTGATGAGAGATAAGATCCAAAGCTTGTAAACTGATGAAAAAACAGCCTGTGGTAAGAGGCAGCCCAATGTGCATGAGCCAGTCACATTCCAGCCTTCTCTTTTTCTTTGAGGTAACAAAAGGTCTTAATTTCTAGTGTTGTTTTAAGTACTTTAAAGAAATTCATACCCCATGTAGCAAAATTGGGGGTGGTAATTTTTCATTTTTTTTCTCAGTATTATTTCTTGGGTTTAGATTTAAAAAAAAAAAAAACAAAACAGGTATCTGAACACTCTACCATTGAAAATGTACTTGTTATGGCAATTTTGGAGTGGAGATCATAATTTTTACTTAGAGACTTCCTTTCATACCTCTTCAAGAGGAAAAAAATAACTATTCCAAATTTTGATGACTTTGCAGAAGAACAAGCACATCGAGATATGATGATAAGGCAGGTAAAACTTCTGCCAAGGAGTCAATATATGTGTCTGGAGAAATGAACTGTAATCTGTGTCATTTTTGCAGTTATTCAGGAATAATGGACAAGGTAAGAGGTGAAGAGCATTAAGTTTGGACCTTTATTGGAAGAATTTGGATCTGTTTGAGAAGCTTAGTCAATATTAATTATCCTGCTGCCTGGGTGAGAAGTACTGCCCCAAACTGGCTCAGACACAGAGAATGGAGAAGTACAAGTGTGTTTCAAAAATATGCCTTAGGCTGAATATGCAAGCATTCCTTCTGGTCATCAGTTCATTTGTCTGCTAACCTTGTTCACAAAATACTGCTGTGACATCGATTCTGAACAACTTGATTTCTGTTTTCCTCATTGCAGGGACGAGCTGTCAGGACAGCCAAGTCTCTCGAGGAGGGGCTTTCTATTGTGATCCCTCTTGACAGCATCCACAGTATCTCTCAGCAGAATGAGGGGAGACTGGTGCACTTGGCTGGAGCTCTGAGTACATCTAAGGTAAATAAAATAGTATATTGGAAGAAATTAGTATTTCAAGTTTGGAGGGAAGGAAAAGTCTTTGTCAATTAAAGTTTTGTTTGGTATCCAGGAAAAGACACATGGCTTCTTTCCTCCTCTAAGCATTGCCAGCTACCACTCAAGCTCTGGTTCTTGGCCTGGAATCAGGAAGATGCTGAATGGCCTTGCACTCACTTCTCCAAGCCAGTACCAGCTCTGGCAGTGTTTACCCTCAAGCTGCTTTTTGTGGATAATTTCAGTTGCCATTTGTGTAGGGAACCTGTTGTGTATTCATGATATTGATAAGTCTTCAGGCTCTTGCAGCACAGGAGCTTTGCAAGTTCTGACTTTTCAGTAGTGGTGACATTTTCCATGGTCCACACACATTGTAGAAGGTGACACAGCACCTTTCAGCAAAACAGAATCTCCTAGTTTAAACACTGAAACCTGTAAACCCATAGTCAGTATTCTGGTTTCATTCTTCACTGTGGCAATAACTTTTGATAAGGATTCTTCAGGTCAGATTTTCCAGAGACATTCCTTTTTGTCTTTCGTAACATTTATACCATGTTCACGTGTGTAAGATAGTGCTAGTTGTACAGTGAGGTATGTAAATGGATTCAGTAGTAAAAGTAGAGTGTTTGAGGTTGTGAGATACAGCATTTAGACTGACTTGTATTTTCATGTATTTTTGCACAGCCTTTGTTTGACCCCAGCTATGGGCTCTCCATCCAAGCTGTCAAACTTAAGCGTAACGTGGAAATGTACCAGTGGGTAGAATATGAAGATTCCAAGTAAGTGAAAGTAATCTTTAAAAGTAGTTTATGAGGCTGTTGTGTTAGCAGGATCCTATCACAATTTTTTTTCTTTCCTTATACCTAAGAAAAAAACCAAAAATAAAAAAAAAAAAACACTTTATAGCAAAACAGTTCTAGAGCTCTTGGATATTTTTCCTTCCGAGAATAATTTTAATTTCCTTGAGAGATGTTAACTGCTCTGCTAATAGTTGCAACCCAAATAAGAAAACCATTTCTGCTATTGCTAATAATTCCACCAATGCTAGTATGAATGTTATTAGCTATTATGTGTGTGTGACTGCAGAGAATTCATGTTCCAAATGTCTTTCACGTAATATAAGAAAAAAAGGGTCAGCGGTTGTGAAGGTGTCAAAAATAATTTCTCAGTTTTAGCATGCTTATGGTGCAGCATCTGTTAGAGACTTGATTTGGGCCAGCTTGTCTCACTGTATTTAATTCTGGTTGTTCCTCATCAATTTAGTCAACACCTCTTTGTTCAAAACATGGGAATAAAAAGGTTGTGGCTGTTGAGCATTTGTGTAGTTTTCTCATGGTACAGAAAATCTGTCTTCAGAAAAGGTAGTTCAGAGAAGAGCTAGGTTATGTATAAAGATAAGTCTGTGTTGCCAGAGATTGGTCTGTGCATTTCACTGGTGAAATGTATTCTGCCCTGTGCAGGGTGTGTGCACTGTTCTGGTTGTCATCCCAGCCCTTTTTCTCTGCAGGGAATATGAGGAAAATGGTGAGATTAAGAAAGAGACAACATATTCATACAGTAAGTTGATCAGCAGAAAGCCCCTTCCCTTTTATGCATGTAACTTTGGGTTTACGTGTGTGTGTGTGTATTTTGATTTTTGTTACAAAACCTGTATTTTCTTTTTGGAAAAGAAAGGAATGTGAAGAAATAAACAAAAATTCTCTTTCCTAAACAAATGACAGAACCTCCCTTTCCTGAGGTAACTGAGGTGAAAGAAGATGTGCTGTCAGCAAGCAAGGGCTACAGAAAATCTGAGTCTTGCTTTGAAACCCCTAAAAGTTGAGAAGAACATCCAGGGATAGGATGTTCCAGAAATAGGGCCCACAAGGTCCTCAATGACCAGAGATGAGAGTGTGTTCAAAGCCACACCTGAGATTACACTTCAGACATGGAGTAATTGGGAATGTCAGCTGTGAGCAGAAGAGAATAGACAGGGAAAAGCAGGTAGCTCCAGCTTGTAAGGGAGCCTGTAGAGAACCTGTTTAGATGTTGATATCAGCCAGTGAAAACTACCAGCACCTTCTGATGTGCACTGTGGCTTTTGCCAAGTGTTTTTTGGCAGGAGCAGAACTGGGTGCGTTATTCTGATCTATCCAGTGGCAGAAAGGTACTCTGAGTCATTGTGTTTTGGGAGATCAGTCTCTGTGCTTCATTTAGCTCTGATCAAAGCACATGGATGTGTAACGTGGGTGTGCAGCAGTTTCTGGGTGTGATCATATAAAAATGCTCAGCTGAGTGAGGCATGGAGACCCTGTATCATGGAGGTACATAAGGGGCAAAGTTGGTGATTGTGAGCCATGAAAAGCAGGCTCACAGTAACAGGGAACAAAAAGAAATGCAGTCCAAAAAAACAGCTGTCCTCTCAAGATTGATGGATTCTGTCCTGTAAATGTCAATGTATGCCAGCTGTGGACCCACACAGCTGCTTGATTACTCTCCCCTTGGGAGACTTCCAGGACTGGGGAGGAAACTGGGAATGACAGGAGTGAAGGACAGGTTGAAAGAAAGATAGGGAGATGGCTTTCCAATTGCCATCGTCGGCAAAACAGACTCACCTTAGGGAAAGTTTATTGTCAATTAAAATAAATATTTAATTGCTGACTTGTGTGTTGGCAAAACACAGGTGTCTTCAGTAACTGAGATCTGAGTGTCTTTTACTCAACCTTCTTATCATTCTGTTTAGATACAGAGTGGAAATCAGAAATTGTGAACAGCAGAAACTTTGATCGAGAAATTGGACACAAGAACCCAAGGTGAGGTACCATCTGGCACAGTCCCTCTGAATTCTGTCACTGCATCTGATCAAAGATGAAATCTAAATGACTGATTTCATAACAGTTCAGTAGATGGAAACTGCTGTTCTTTTGGTAGTTGAGAATAAAGGCATAAAGGAATTAGAGCAGCTCAGAGCAGTGATGGCTTAGCTTAATTTAATGGGTCCAACAGTATGCAGTCTGGATAGTCTCTTGAAGGATTTGTTTTCACATCAGGACAGTTTTTTAGCTCTTTGAGTTTCTCCTGATGTTTGCCGCAGTACCTTTTCTGTGCTATACCTTACATACTGCAAATCAAGAGTTTGATCACAATTTTGGGACTAATCAGGGACTCTCTCTGTTCCTCAGTGCCATGGCTGTGGAGTCTTTCACTGCTGTTTCTCCTAATGTCCAGGTTGGCAGCTTTTTTCTTTCCAAGGGTAAGGATTGTTTTGTCCTGACTTTGTGTCTGCTGTTGTGTCAGCAATGGACTTTGGTTCTTTCCACAATAGCTGTCATGTCAGGTGATAATCAGGAAGCCAGCCAGCAAATTGGCTGTTCCATGTTAGACACTGAGCCTCACCTTGATGCTTTATTCTGCTTAGGTCTTGTGGATAAAATTGATGATTTCAAGCAGTTGAGCTTATCACACCTGGAGGATCCCCATGCTGATGTTACCCGAGGAGGAGATTACTTCTATCACAGCGACAATCCCAGGCGTCCAGAAGTAAGATGGGAAAGATAAACTAAAGTAGTGATTACTTGTGTGTGAAAAAGGGCGTGTCCCATTTCTATTTAATGTATAGAAAATGGAGTGCAGATCATCACATAGCATGACTTCCTTAGTGCAGCCCTTCAGAATGAGAGCTTCTCTTGCAGAAGGCTTCCAATCCCATTTCTTTGTTCTCTGTTTTCTCAAGTCTGCTGTGCTTTTAAATGGAAGGGGTTGGTGCTGGGGGGTGGGTTCCACCTCTGCCTTGCTGAATTTAGGAGTACAATCAAACAGCTTGTTGTCAAATAGTGCTGCCTGCTCTGTTTTGCCAAAAGATGGCATGATGAGGGATGAACAAAGCATATCATGTGCTCCTGGAGCTTAATCAGAGGGATATTGCAAAACAGCATTTGAGCTCTCCTGTTCCAGCTGCCAGCTTGCCCTGAGGAAAGGACAGCTTGGAAATAATTCTGGCTCAGTCATTCCTGACATAAATGTTCAGAAAAAGTGTTGATAAATAAAGGATGCTCCTGTGCTGTGAATCTTTCCTGTGATTCCCTTTTTCAATCAATCTTTCTTGACTTCCAATCTTCTCTTGTTTGTAGGTTGGAGACCTTCGTGTCTCTTTCTTCTATGCAGGTCTGAGTGGAGTTGATCCCCGGTTGGGCTCTGCTGATAAGGTGAATATTCAGCTGTTTCTGTTATTGCAAGCCCTGTTCCCAACTCAGTAACCAGTAAATATTTTTCTCTCTCTTCCAAGGTGACTGTGATTGCTCGGCAGCGAGGTGATCAGCTGGTTCCTTATCCTACCAAGTCTGGAGATGTTCTGGAGATTCTCTACCCTGGGGACCTCTCTGTGGAGGTGAGACTCTTCTAGTGAAGGGTTAAAACTCGAGATGGTAGTGCGGAAGCAGCAGAAGAGGAAGCTCTTACTCTCCTTCAGACCTGCTCTAGAGGAGGAGATACTCATATAAACATTGGCTTTTCTTCCTCCTTCTTGGACAACAGGTTGTAGCCTGTGTTTGCTTCCAGGTTTCTACACATTCTGTCTGTTTGCTTTAAAGTTTGTTTCTGTGCCTTCTCATTTTGTTTTTATTTGCTCCTTGGTTGTTTCCCACGTACACATGCAAGCACACATCACATGTAAAAATAGTAAAAATCAGGGTTTAATTAAATAAACCATAAGAGTTCTTCTCCCTTCACCTCCTAATAATAGGAGTTTAGACTTGTTTGAAATGTTTATTACTATTCTGGCTGAGAAAGAGCCTTCAGGCGGGACATTATGCTTCAATAAATCCTGCATGCTCCAGCAATTTGGTGATTCATTTACTCCTTTTGGTAGATTTGTTTCCATTAATGATTGTTTCATGCCCTGCTGCAAAGAAAAGCAGATGTCAAGAGTTTACAGGTGTTCCCAAAATCATTAATAAGGCTTTGTTTTGACTTGAAAAAGTAGCAGTAGAATCAATCCTCTGCTGTAAGCTCTGAATCTTCATTAGATAGAATTTTGTTTCATTGAAAATTAACTGGTTACAAATAAATAATTAATCAAGTACTTGTATGTGCAAGTAATCAATCAGTTTTACACATCTCTTACCATTTAGTGCTAACATCCCTGCCATCTTCATGTGAACGTTTTGTTGAGCCAGAGGGTCACACAACCCAAAAATCTTTCTCAGAATTCTTGAAAAGAGATGTTTTGCTTTGCCTGATGAAATGCACACATACTTTTTAGTTTTTCTTCCTTCCATCCTGCTTGCTCTCTTTCACACACCTTCCCTCAGTCATCAGTGGATATTGTTGCCTTTTCTCTCTTCCTTCAGAATGAAGCCAGACTCTTCCTTCTTTATTACAGTTACTTATTAGTGTCTTATTTTCCACAGTAATGTAGAATGTATCTAATTGCAGCAAAACCTGTGTGCTTTCTGACTGTGGGTAATGTTGAATGGTGCTTTTTAGGTTGTTTTAATTAAGAAAAGTGTCAGTTTCCCCCGTGCTGCACTATTCAATCTATTGCAGTGTAATGCCATACTGCACAGACCCTGCAGAATGAGCTGCAATGTATCTTCTGCAAGAGAAATTGTACTCATAAAATGCTCTTGGCTCTGATTGGCTCATAATATACTGGAATTAAGAAGTTCTTGAAAAAGAACAAGAAACAGGCTGCATGTGATGGTGTTTGCTTTCAGGAGGTATTTCAGAAGGAGCATGAGAGTAACACCATGAAGACCTGGGCACTCCGTGCAGCTGGCTGGTTCTCAATGTTTGTGGGCATCAGCCTGATGACCCGAATCTTTTACACATTAGGTAAGTTTTTCACAGAAAGGTAAAATGATCTAGAAATAAGATCCCAACCCCTAAAGAGTTAACTCATTTGGAGACCAGGAGAAATCTGGTTTGAACTCAGATTTTATTTGATCTGAAAAGTCACTGTAGGCAACTGCAGGTAAACAGGACGGCAAAACCAACTGGTTGCTTTGTGAACATTAAAAAACCCCACACAAATATCTTTTATCAGTCTCAGAAGATCCCAGCCTGGTGCTTACCAAAATAAAAAGCTGAAGCACATGTTGGGTTGGTTCTTTCAAATCTAATTCAAGTTGCTGCAATACAATTACTTTCTGCACCCACACACAACTGGTCCCCCCAACAGGTCCTGGTGAGCAGTTGTACAGAAATAAGATTTGTGTCTGGTTATTCTACACTATTGTAAACAAACAGCAAAGAAAGTTTTTGTTTATTCTTTTAATATAAAAAAAATGCTGGAGAAAAACAGAAAGGCAGGACAACGCCTCAAACTTGCATAAACTTCAGACATCAAAGATATCATTCACTTTGTAGCTGTGAACTTGTATTTTCTGATTTATTTATCCATATACATGCTGCTCCAAGATTTATTGTTGCCAGAAGGGAATTTCTGTGCTAGCAGCTTGTATCAGTTGCCCTAGATTTGTTCCATAGCTGCAGGGCTATCTGTCTCCTCTGCTTCTCAAGCCTTGGACAAATCTTCAGACCTCATTTTGGATTTCTTTCTGTGTGAAGAGATGAGGATAGCACTGCCTTACATGTTTAGCTGTTGCTTAATGATCAAATGTCTTGATGATGCTCTGCTGAAATACCTAATCCAGTGCTCTTGATAAAATAGTTTGAGTCTGTCTTGGGATTGCAGTCGTTAGGGTGCAGATCCTAAGCATGAATCAGACTTTTTTTTAAACTCTCATCTTACCAACTACTTCATGCCATGTTTAATTCTCTCTGCAGTGGACTGGTTTCCTATTGTGAGGGACCTGGTTAATGTTGGCTTGAAGATGTTTGCCCTGTGTGTGGCCAGCTCGCTGTCCCTGCTGACCATCTCTGTGGGCTGGCTCTTCTACCGCCCGCTCTGGGCCCTGCTCCTCGCGCTGCTCTCCATAGTCCCCATCGTGGTGGCCAGGTCCCGTGTTCCGTCCAAGAAGCAGCAGTGACGAGGAGGTGGTCAGGTCTTGAACTGAGTCCTGGTTAGAACCTTCCCAAGTGCATTTCTGCCCGGTTCCTGCAGCAAGCTTACAGCAAATCACAGCTCAGCAGTGAGCACTGAAAGCTGGGGAGGGGGCCTTGGTGTGATTTTTGGTACACGTTAGCCATGGGACTATAGGATGCTGTTTGTGGGAAGTCAGTGACGCCAGCTGTGCAGAAAAAAGCATTCTGGGTAAGTAACTGAACAAGCAGATTTGTACCTCTTAACTGCTTAGCAGTTTCTCCTGATTTGAGAACAACTGGCAAGTCCTTGCTGGGTGGGGCACCTTGTGTGTTTTGGAGAAAGTGCCAGCTGCATCCCATGGACCCTGGTTAGATATCCTTAGGAAATAACGTGTGTCTGCCTGTCTCTGACAAACCCTCCCTCTGCTGCCTTTTCTTGTTTGCACAGTCAGGAACACTCCTATGGCTGATGTGTTTGGTAGTGCATGTGTTCAAAGGGAAAACATGGCTTAGGTGAATTCAACACAATATTCATGTAAACCCTCTGATTCTGGACTGAGGATTTTCAAAGTCATTGATGTAATGAGTGGCCAGGTTAGCGGTGCTCTGAGGTTGGGCAGATTTATCAGAGCACATTGATTTCCCCCAGGTTCTAAGTGTCTGAAATTGTTCTTGGTTAAGCATCCAAAATGATAGCCTGGACCATATCATTGCAAGCTGTTTCAAAAATTTCACTTCAAATTGCACTTAAAGGGATGCTCAGAGGTCATTCACCTGTAAATATAAAACTTACTGCCTTGAAACAACATTGACTTTTGTAAGTGAATGGGTATTCTTTAAAATAGTTGGGGTTTTTTGCTCTGTATACTGTTCCTTTCTTTAACTTCACTTAGTAAGGATGATGACAGTACTCTGTGAAATTAAGAAATGGAAGCATTTTTGCCTGTTTAGTTTCATATATTTTTGTAGCCTAAATTGTTAGTTTTGTATCAATAGAGGAATGCCTTGTAGTGTTGTGATGGCTCATGTTTATCTGCTGTAACCAATACTTGAGGTTAGAGACACCCTTAAGTCTCCACCAAGCTAGTCTGACTTCCAGATGAGCTTCCCTACACTACTGTGTTTTGGGGGTTTTTATAAGTATATACAATTCAGTACAAAAATAATGTTTTCAATTATGAAATCTCTTATGACTCAGAGGAGTGTTCTCTGTACCAAAGGAACTTAACTTGAACATACAGTGGAAAAAATGTTTGCTAGAAAATTATACTGAAATAGAAATCTGAGTTAGAAATCATAAATGTTTTGAGAATTTGTAATTACTTGATTAGTCCTAATTACTTGCATTCTTTTGGTATTTGAATATTATCAGTTTGGTCTCACAGCTCTGTCCTGCTGGTGAAAGCAGGAGCAGTGAGTGAAAGGGTGGGTACAGGAGATGGCCTTGTGCATAGCAGTGGTGCTGCACATTCTTCCTGCTGCTCAGCAACACCAGCTTATGCTCCAGCAGTCAGGAATTGTCCTCCATGGGAGAGAGAAACTGGGTTTGAACTGCTGCTCTTTTGCCCATGATGCAGAACACTAACCAGCATTACTTATTGGAAATGAAGCGACAATTTTCTCCAGCAGTGCTGAGCTTTTGTATATTTAATAAAATACAGTTTTATCAAAAGGTTCGTCTGTAGGCTTTTTTATTAAATTCAGGTATTGCATGTTTTATATCCAGGAGTAATGCCCAGGTAGGTGGAAGATTAGTTTGTAGCTTCCAAAAGAACTAGTTTCTTATTGTTGGGTTTTGTTTGTCCTGCAAATATTTCCTTGTTTTGGGAAGCTGTTCTCCGGTCTGTGTACTGCTGCCAGCCTGCCATGGGTTTACTTCCCATTACTGACCAAAGAAGTCAGTCACTTCCTTGCCACCTCTAAGATTATTAGAAAAAGATGATGATTCAAGCTGACTGCTACAGCCTCTTGTATTTTAAGAATACTGAGGGTTACCTGTGCATTCCAAAACAGACAGCATATTCTTTTTTTCAAACTTTATTTTGATCTACAAATACAGTACAAAAATAGATTCTTTTTTCTGAACATAATTACCTGAAAGCCATCTTCTTACATTTCAGTCTCTGTGGCAATGCCCAGCAATGACTAAAAATTGTTTTTCCCCTTGGTTTTTGAAGAGACTGTGTCCATGGAATTTAGACACATAGTACTGCCAAAGACAGATCAGTATTTCTACTACAAAAGTGCAGGAAAAGCTTACATAGATTTAACATTCCTCTCTCAGCAGGTTTTTAATGCTATGGTACTGGATAACAAGAATTCTGTGATTTTTATGAATTTTGCTCCAGCTGTGAGACTAAGCCAGTTTTACATGTTTTGCTCCACACCAGGATCTTGATAAGGAACAGAAGCAAATGCATATATATGCAAATTGCTTAAAAAGGCATATTGAACCTTAATTGTAGTAAGTACAGGGCTTCTCCCTTCCACAGCACAAGATTTCTGAGAGTAAAGAAAGATAGTAGGCTGAGAACCCAGACTTAGATCACAAAATGCAAGTATTCTTTAGAAAGTATTAATTCCTCCATATTCTGATTGTGGGGGGTTTCTTTTAGACCTTAAAGGAAGTATTTCCCCTTGAGACAGACAGGCCAGAATTCTACCTCACCACTCATTTGGGTAAGCTATGACTCAAAGGAGGCATCAGCATTCCTTTGGCCACATCTCTGCAGACAGGTAAAAAGAAGCTGGATGCTTTAGTTCTGAGCAAGAACTAGCAGGGAAAAATGAAAAAATTAGAAAAATGGGAAGAGACTGCTGATGGACAGGAGTGCCTCAGGGAACTCAACTATTAGTGCTGAGTGATACAGAGCAAAAACCACAACAAAGCAAAGTGATTTTGCAAGGTGCTGCTGTTCATCCAAGGTCAAAGGGAATAATCTAACGACACCTAAGTGATACCTGTGATCTCAAAGGAAACTGGATATTGAATTAGGTTGGTCCCTGACACCTCAGAAATGAGTGCACAACAAGACCCTAAGGCCCTAACTGGTAAAGGATACTTTTATCATGACTATTTTCCTGCATCTGAAAACAGCAAAGAAAAGCTTGTCATCACAATTTCTCAAAAGGGAACAACTGGGATGCTTCTCCTCTCTTTTCTCGCTTGCTCTTTCTGGTTATTTTCTCTTCTTGTTTCTCAAGCTGGCGATTTTGGGGCCAATAAATGGCTGTGTTCTCCACTGCGCCCTCTGAGCTTGGAGCTCCTTCTTCATCAGAAGAGAATCCCCCTCCTTTCTCTGTCTCAGGTGCTGATGGCTCAGTCTGGAAAAAAAAAGGTGTGAAAATCAGAAAGTCGCTCTAAAAATCACTTGTAACTGCCCCTTTCTAAAAGAGCTTGACTTTGGTCACAGTGACACTGTGTGACCTTACAGAAGTTGGTTGCTCTGGTTTGGGCTTTCTACCCAAAGTGCTTCTATTTATGAACACTAAATATTCTTGCAACACAAGCATTTTTGACAATGGAAGAATAAAACCAACCTGTTTTAAAAAGATCAGGCTTTTCACCCTTTTTCCTTGTGAAAAAAATAAGAACTAAAACATCTAACTAAAAGAAAAAGTGCCCCCCCACTCTCATCCTGTTAGCTACATGCTTGACTTAGAGGAAATCTAGGAAGGGGTATGACAAAACCCCTTTTTTTTATAGTAATAAAATAAAAAATAAAAAAATAAATAAAAAACTTTATTCTGTTGTTAAACAGTAATAAATCTTTACTGAACATGAGCACACTGAACTTCTGGGATAGATTTTTGAATCTTTAGCTGAAGACTTTTTGAGGAACTACACTCTGCAAATTTTATTCTACAGTTAAAATAACCTCCAGAAATAGAAATTACTAATAGAAATGCAGGATACCTTGACTGAGTAGCGTTGCTTCAACCTCTCTCTAATGAGAAGTCCTTTTGTCAGCAGCTTCCAATTCCCTAGAGCTCTTTTCTCACGCTTCTGTGGGGGATTGTTAATGGCAAAGAGAAAAATTTACTACTGTGAGTTTCAATGTATTTATGCACACAGAAAGTTTTAAGATTTTTAAACTGTCATCTAAAAAGCTTATTGCTTACACAGCCTGCCCTGTTTGACTGCCCAGTTTCAATGAAATTTACTTTTTAAATATAACAGTAAGGAAACTGCAAAAATAGTTCTCACCTCCTTCTCCTTCTTTTCTATTTCTGCTTGTTCATTCTCCCAGGCAGCAACAAGGATCTCTTTATACTCCTCACACACCACATACCCATCAGTACTAGGAAGGAGAACATAATCCTCTTGTCAGCTACAAGAAGGAAAAAAAAAGGGAGCAAATGCCTGCTGACCCAGCCCAAAAGCTACAGAATAGTGACAGAACTGTCTGTCTCAAAGGACCAAAGTGTGTAACTAGTCACATGTTCCCCTTAACACAAGATACACAGCTTCTGCAGGACATCAACATCTGACAAGTGCAATAAAGCAGCTTTTACATACACTGGGTGTGAGTAGCCACCATGAAAATCAAATCCAGTGATGGCTTGAGCACAGTCTATGTCCAACTTCCGTGCCACTCTGTTCAGGTTTGGAAGTTTCAGCTGCACACAGCCAACAGGTAACATGGAGGGCAAGAAGAGATAGACATTCCCATATTCATTCCGAGGAACCTGTTATGGCAAGATTAAAGAGAGATGGTGATAATCCTGCTTTCTGGAGAGAGGTCTAAAATTCCTGCTGCAACTCAGGGACTCTACCCTCCTGACCTCCTACATTCCACTCCAGTATTCAATTAATATTCACATGACAAGGTACAAGCCTAGATTTTAGCTGCATGGTTATCTCTTAGCTATGTCCTATGCTCAAGTTTTGTTTCTCAGGCTGTAATGCAGAGAATTACCGAGGCATAACATGGGCTAGGAAGATCAGATCAACAGAATTTTGACTTTAGCAGTCCGCACTCACTACCTGTATTTGTGAAAGAAAGGCCTCAGTAGAGTTTTGACTATTTCCTCTGTGAACATTTACCTCTGAACTCTTAATCCTGATTCCAGATATTACTGACTCATCTCATGTCTGAAACATGCAACTTCTGGAAAAATAAAGCCCAGAGCTGCACACAAACCACTTCCTTTAGCATCAGCCCTCTGCCTTCCAGCTACCTTTCCATCCACTGCTATGGGAGGCTGATACTCCTCTGTCTGCCAGCGGCCAAACAGCGCCAGGTCCTCCCGGTCCCGGTTTGCCGGCTCTGCCAGGCGCGCCTTCCTTGCCCGATTGGAAAATCCTTTTACCATCTGCAAATACAACAACCAGGCCTGTAAAAATCACAAGAAGCTGACAGTGGCTTCAGGTTTTCCTAGGACACCAAAGGAGAAGTTTCTGGAAGAGCAGAAATGCTATTTTCTAGCTTCAATATCCATTGCCGGTAAATGACAACCCATGGCACCTGTATGCAACAGGCAGAGATCCAACAGTGCATATAAAACATTGGGATGCCTTTGGAGAAGGTGAAAAGGGAGCTGTTCTGCCAGATACCCTTGGGGTGGGAAAAAAGCAAAGCTGGACTTTGGGCAGCATGTATGAGCTATAGGGCACAGCAGGTGGACAGTACAGCTACCATGCAAAAAAGTGTGAAATCTACATCTGCTGACAAAATAGAAGAAAAAAACCAAACCACAACTGAGCTTGAGCTTTAAAGGGCAGATGAATTGCACAGGAGGAAGTCAAACCCTCTTACCTTGTAAGGCACTTCTCCAACCCTCACCACTCGAGCTTGCTTCAGCCAAGTGTCCCTGGAGTGCAGTGTGTGTATGCAGTCTCTGAAAAGGCCAGAAAGAAGCAAATGTAAGAGTTTTCAAGTCATTCATAACAGATCCACAATAAACTTACCATATCAGGAATAATAAAAAAAGCTGTATCTTAGTGATACACAAATGCTGTCAGAGCAGCAAAATGCCTCACCTGTTTATGCATGTGGTCTGAGGCTAC